GCAGCTCTCAAATATTCTGGTTTTAGGGTCCCTTTATACTCTTAAAAAATGCTGAGGACTCCTGAGAGCTTTTGCTTATGTTGGTTATATGTATCAGTATTTACCATATTCAAAATTAAAGTTGAGAAATTTAGAGTTTTATGTATTAATTTGTCACAATAAAACTCACTACATGTTAGCATGTAACATTTGTAAATAAAAAGTAACTGTTTTCCAAAACAAAAAATTTAGTGAGAAGAGGGAAATTGTTTTACATTTTTTGATATCTCTTTATTATCTGGCTTAATATAACTGGATATAATGCATATCTTTGGTGACATGTATTCAGTCTGTGGTGATATCACATTTTAATTAGCCTCTGTAAAATGCCACTGTATACTTTTGAGAGAAAGAGAGTTTTAAAAATCTGATACTATTGTGAAAGTAGTTTTGATGTCATGAATGACCTAAAAGGGTATAAGGGACCTTCAGGAGTCCCCACACTATGCTGACTGTTTTTTGCAAGTTCTAAAACATCTCTTGATTACCCTGACCTTTTTCTCATTTTCAGTCTTTCCTTTTTTATTCTCCCGACTTTAAACATAAAGAGTTAAGAACCACTGATGTAAATTTACTGAAACTGTTACAAAATACAGGCACATATCACTGGAAGGATGGATCCAGAAGAACTGCTATGAAGAAAAGGAGAGAACTTAAATTAGGTGATTTTATGGAACTTGGAAGACTAGAATTTCCAAGTAGGATAGGGATGGTCAGCACTGATTCAGGTAAGGTAACTTGATTTGATCAGTTCATCTAGTTCATCTTTAATTATATAAACTGTAAGATGGTGATCTAGTAACCAGAATTTACATTTATAGTGAGAAATGTAATAGGTATATAGACCAGAATGTTTGTTTCCAACTGTGGCTCTCTGAACCTTTTCAAAATCAAAGGATAGCTATGGACTTTCGCCTGACAAATGTAGCTCTTTTCCAAATTTTGCATGCAGTCATGGATCAGGCAAACGGGACAGGTATAGTTCATGATTCACACAGGCCTGTCCATCAGTGTATTGCTTCACCTCCCTGTCCTGTTCTGTGGCTTTGTGAGCTTAGAATTTGAAGTCTTCCTGTTGTCTGGTTACATCAAACTGTTCTTGCAGTTCTATGCTGGAAATATACATGCAAATTAAAACTTAATCTTAAATTTCTCTTTTTCTGGACTCCATGAATACCCCCATATTGCTGACATTCTTTAGACAGTACATTTACAGTACCGTTAATTGTGTCATACCTTTCCTTTTATATTTAAACCTGTTATACTTTCAGTCACCTTGATTCAACTTGGGTGTTGCCTAGGCAGTATTTTGAACAGGTTCCTTCTAGTGATAGTTAAACACATCTTTTTTTATACGGCGGTGTGTACTACTTTTACTTTCAGAAGAACCATTTCTCTAAATTTGGGCACAATTATTTTATCTCTATGCTGACTACAGATTATTATTTCAAAATATTTGGCCAAAAGAAGGAAGATAGTAGCTGGAAAAATTTTGGTCCACAAGAACTTATAGGGGAAATTTCAGTGTGCTTTTAAGAAGAGAAGAAGTAGCCAGTAGTGTCAGGGAGACTATAAAATAGATAGTGAAACAGCAGAGCTGTGGAAATGGGTGGGAATGGAATCAGTAGTAGAGTATAGGAGAAAACAGAAAGACCACCTTCGTTTTACTCCAGTGGGTTGGGAGATGAGTGAGAACATCAAAATTTGAAATTGAAAATTGATAAGAACATGTGACTCTAGAAATGGAGAGGAGTGATGGTAAGGTCATATCCTTCTGCCAAGTACCTTAGGTCTTTTCTGTAAAGTAGATCATATAGAATTTTGAAAGTTGAGCTGGGGAGCTGATAATGGATACTATAGGCAACAGTCTGTTGCCAATTCCTCACTGAGGAAATGATAAGGAAATAGTTTTATATTAATTTATTTGTAGAAGAATACATTGGGAGATGATAATGCTCTAAGTCAGTGAGGTTGTATGGTTAATTGGAGGGAAGTGGATGTCACTGGGTGTGGGTGCAGGATGTTGGGAATAAAGAGAAGGAAGAGTTTAAAATGATTCCAAGGAGTCAGTCATCTTGTTTGGAAGGTGGGGAGAGAGGGTAGACCAAAATTTGCAACTGTAGTGAAATACTTATTCATCATATTATGTCTGGCAACATTATTTTAGTTAATTTATATTTGTTATATCACTTATTGAGACTAGATGAAGTTGAGAAGAGTAGCAAATTTGCAAGAAAAAATTAAAACGGGAGATATATGTGATAAACTTGCAGCTGTCATCATCTGTTGTTTTGTCCCTAAAGTCTGATGCAGTTGTTTCACATTGTCTTTATTTCTCCCTTTGAATTTCTACGCTTATTCTCTGTTCCGTTCAGTTTGAGTATGACATGTGCTGTCTGTATTAGGTGTTTTTTGTTGTTGTTGTTGTTTTTTGTTTTTTGTTTTTTTTTTGGTAATGCATCAGAACTCTGCATCTACATTTTAAGACCTTTGAAAAGGAAATCTCATATTTAGAATGTAGTATCTAGAATGTATGTAGAATGGCACTTTGCACGTATTACAATCTCAGTAAATGTTTTTGTTATAGTATTTTAGCCTGACATAGCAGGCACTTAATAGCCATTGAATGAGAAAATGAATGACAGCTGTTATAAGAAATACCAATAAAGAGTATCTTACTTTAAAATATCAAGACAGTATACATGTACACTAAATAGTTAAATATAAAAGTAAGACTTTATTTTGGGGTGAGAAATAAGTCTTGATAAAGCAAGTCATTCTGGAGTTGAGTTAATGATTAGAATCAAAGGAAGGATATTTTCAGTATAGGGAGGACTCTTTATATTTAAAATCAGGAGAATAAAGAGGGAAAGACTGAAAATGAGAAATAGGGTAATTAAGAGATGTTTTAGAACTTGCAAGAAAGAACCAGCATAGGGAGTGGCAAGAGGAGAGGAAGCATGACACTATAGATCTCTACTTCTGTCTTAACTTGGGGAAGAAGTTAGATGAGTATAGAAGGGAGATGTGAAAAGGAAATCATGTCTGGTAGCTTCTGTAGTTTCAAAGTGGGAAGCCCAGAGGGAGATTGGCTCAGTGGATGAGCAGGGGCCTTAGAGTTTTAGGAGAAATGTCTGCATTTAGGCATATCTGAAGAAGGGCAGGTAGGGTGGTGGTGGATGGTGGTGGTGGTGGCATTTCTGGACTGGTAATAAGAACAGCATTGAAATTCAGGCCTGCAAATAGGCATGAGGGTACTAATGGGACTAGGTGAAAATCATAGTATTCATATAATCACTTTCCATATATGTGGAAATAACAGGTTCAGATATATGTATTAATCTGTTTTACTGTTTGCATATAAAGACTCTTCTTTGGTTTGTGAATGGCAGTTAACAGCAGAACTTATTTATGAATGTATCTTACACTCTTGACACTTGCTAAAAACAGTTCCTCTTTTTTATTGCCACATGCTACATTTCCATGGTTTATTTGGAATTTACACGCTGACAGAAATGTTTGCACTACTTTTTGGTACTCTTTCAAAATAGGGCAGAAAAATTCCACAGCTGCTTACGTAGTCTGTTATCTTTTCTTGTCTTATACTCATTCCCAGTAATTGTTTTTCAGTAAATATCACTTCAGAGGTGATAAGAGGTCTGTATTCCCAAGTCTTATAGGTGGTGATTTTACCATCCTATTTCGTATTCAAAATAATTGATACCAACAAAGCCAGAAGAGTGGTCACTGCACCCTTCTGTAACTTGGTAGAATTACTAGCTAAATAAATCATCATTTATATCATGTTTTTGTGCCAAGGTTCTTGATTTGTGATTCTCCCATGGCCTGCATTTCAGGAATTCATGAGAACTTCCACTTTTTATTTGGTCAGTCTGAGATTCCTGGCTTGGGTTGCATTTTTCTTGTGAACCTCTTCTACACAGCTGTTTTCCACCTTTACACTGTGAATCTGTAAGATGTTGATCATCTTTTGCATCATGCTTTTTAGTATGGTTATTGAAAATGTAGCCATTAGCATATTGTTCTTACTGAATTATTCTCAAGGATCTTTAGTGTATTTTATAGCCTGAGTTGAAAGTTTCTTAGTTTTAAGGTTCTTGTTTAACTTCAAGGATAGATTGAAAATGTAGCAGTGAGGAGGGGATGACTGAACACCATCAAATCTGATGAGAGTGACGACAGTACCGTTAGTGATCTTAGAACCTTGGTTTTTCTTTTCTTTAAGGACAAGTAACTCTGAGAATTGAGATCTGAAAATTGAAGAACATTGTTGAAATCTTAATGTTTCTTCTAGTATTTCTCTATTATGTAGTTAGTATCATGTCTTGTACAGTGTAGCGGCCTAAAATTATACTTGCTTCTGTAAACACATATTTGGTGATGGTTTGTTGTAGAGCCCAGGAAAGTACTGGCTAAGATCTTGAGTCATATGACAAAAATGTTGAGCATGAAGATGAGTAGATTTTCATTGTTAATTTGTCCTTCTTTTGATAAATTATCTTTTAGAATTTTGTAGGGTTTACTTGATATTTTATAAATACAGAGCCCATTCAGTATTGTGATTTTTGGAACTTAACCTTTTTTGTGTGCTTTTAAGTATCAGTTTCCTTAAATGTGGGAATGAAATTGATGTTACGATTTCCTGACTTCTGCTTGGTCTTATGATCATGTTTTCCCAGGACGTCTTTAATCTTTTTTCTCAGGTAGATTTTTAAAAAAAATTGTTGTATCCCTCAATTTATGTACTCTCAATTCTTATTACTCACTGCCTATTGATGAATTCTATAGCACAGTATATAGTTAGCACACACACAAATAGATCATCATTCTGGGAGCACCTACCTATATGTGGGTTTAGCAAAGGATTAAACATAAAATGGCCTTTTGTCACAATGAACTTTTTATTTGTGTCTAAAATTGGCTTTTCTTTTTTTAAACAGATAAGTGTAAAGCAGGAAATTACTTTTACTGATGTATCTGAGCAACTGATGAGAGACAAAAAACAAATCAGAGAGCCAGTAGACTTACAGAAAAAGAAGAAGCGGAAACAACGTTCCCCCGCAAAAGTAAGACAATATATTAAGGTGGTAATCACAAGCTCTTAATTCCAACTGTTGGTTAATTCTATAGGCAAGAACCTGGCTGGACCCTAAGGCAGATGTAAAAGTCTTGTGTGGTTTAGTAGGAAGGGGTGCATGCCTGCATGGAGGTGGTGGGCCTTGCTTTCAGTTTTTCTGCTTCTCTTTCACCATGTTCCTGACTTGTCTAAAAATGAACTTTTCTTTTTCCATATCTCTAACAGATGGCATGCATTGCCCTTTCTTCTCATTTGTGTTAGTTTTCCTTATCTTTATATGAAGGTTTCAGGAAAATGTAATACCAGTTATTCATCAGCAAAAAGTATAGGATCCCTGTTAATAGGATGTAAACTTCATGAGGGCAGGGACTTCATTTTGTTCACAGCTGTATCCTAAGAGCCTGGAATAGGAGACATAATAGATCTTCAATAAATATTTTATGGGTTAATGAATGGGTTAGTAAATCAACAAGTAACCCAGGCTGGAGTGCAGTGGCATGATCATGGCTCACTGCAGCCTTAGTCTCCCAGTCCCAAGGGATCCTCCTGCCTCAGCTTCCTGAGTAGCTGGGACCACAGGCATGTGCCACCATGCCTGGCTAATTTTTGAATTGCTTACAGAAATGGGGTCTTCCTATGTTGGCCAGGGTAGTCTCCAACTCCTGGTCTCAAGCAGTCCTCCCACCTCAACCTCCCAAGGTACTGGGATTACAGGCATGAGCCACCACTCCTGGCCTGCTTTTTTCTCTTTAGTATAGTGATAGCTGAATGTATGCAGCATTTTTGGTATTCCTAGAAATTCTCTGAACTCTCTGCAGTATATTTGCATTTTTATAGTTAAGTCTTATTTTTTTCTTCCCTCATGTGGTGAGAAAGTCCTTTTAAAAAAGATCATACTGTAATAGATTTTTTTGATGGCTTTTTAAATATTTGTGTTTTGAAATTATAATCATCATTATTATTTATGTTTTTTATACTTTTGGACTTACTGGAGTGTTGGAGCCAGCTCGAGCTGGCTTGCAAGATTTCATTTGCAAACTAGTTGCCAAAACGATTGGTAGCTTATAATTAGCTATGGTGGGAATATTTACACCCCAGAAATCAGCAAATGCTTCTCTACCCCCTGATTCCTTAGCTGGTGGTTAAATATTTGCCAGCACACCACTATTTGGGGGCTATATAAGTATGCCTGCGATAGCAAATTTTGAAAAACATAGAGACTAAAATAACCCATAGTTACATTTCCTTGAGATAACTACTTGGATTTTCTGCCATATTCCCTTTCTATCTTTTTTCAAATATGTGCGGATAGATATGTAGGTATAATACAGATTTAATTAGCTGATTTTTAACACTTAAAGTGTATGTAAGCAATTTTTGTGCTTTAAATTCTTGATGTTTTTTGTAATCATTTTATTAGCTACATAATCTATTTTTTGATAGATCATGTTAATATTTAATTATTGCTTTATTGGACATTATTATGTTATTTGAAAGTTGTAGTCCTTTTGTTTCTGTTTTAAATCATGCTGCACTTAAAATGTTTGAGTATGTATCTTTGTGCACTATTGATCAAAGGGTGTGAACTTTTAGAAAGATTTCTTGATAATGTTACTCTTTTCAGAAATGTTATACCAGTTACATTTCTACCTGCAGTGAACCTGAGGTGTATCTGTCTGCATTCTCACTGGTCTTGAGTGACTTTGCTTAAGATGGGAGCCTCATTATAGTTTAAATTTGAATTTCTTTAGTTTCTGGTCACACTAAACTTCTAAAATTTTTGTTGGCATTTTATATTTCATGTTTTGTGAAATTCTCCCTTCTTTTCTTCCCTCTCCCTCCACTTCTTTTCTTGGGGTTTTAATGTTTTTCTCAGTAATTTATATCATTTTTGGGGGTTCTTTACATTAATGAACAAATCAAGTTCTTCAAATATAGAATGATACCAGGTTTTGTGTACAAAATTATTTCTAAAATCGTTTGTGATAGTGATTGATTGTTACTTTGGATTCGTTGCTGATCTATGGGGTATCTATTTCAAGTGTGCTCTCTTCTTGAAATTCTGACTAAAACCCAGATTATCTGCTTATTGGGTGTTGGACTCTGTTTTTGGTGATATGTTCTAGGTATTTGTAAATATAGATAGGTATTTACAGACTTTAAGCTATTTTGCTTGTCTAATTTGAGATAAAACTCGTTTATAATGTATCATTTTAGAATATTTCTAAAGGTATTATTTAAGTATTTATATACCTATAGTGGCCAGATGACAGAGTCGTCCTGTTCTAAGTATAGTATATATAAGAGAATGTTTTAAGGAAGCCGTTTAGAGAAATTCTTAGAAAGATGAAGTGACTAGAAACAATATACAGAAGACAGAGGTGTAAGAATAACAAACAGGCCAGGTACAGTGGCTCACACTTGTAATCCTAGCACTTTGGGAGTCTGAGACGGAAGAACTGCTTGACCCCAGGAGTTCAAGACTATCCTGGGCAACATTGTGGAACCCTGTGTTTGTTTGTTTGTTTTAATAAAGAACAAACAATTATTTTTCAATTATCCTGGCATGTTACATGTAATGGGACAGGGAATGGTTGTGAACTGTTTTTAACCACTGGTCTGCCATCTCCAGATGAATGGGTTTTTTGTGTCTGGAGTCTTAGAACTTTAAGGTATAATCAGTGAGTAATTTTACATTTTCTCAGGAGTGTGTATAAAAATTTATGCTTCAGAACTTCTGTTAAAGTAATTTGTTCTGCTCTTTGGTATGAAGAGAAAGAGAAACTCACCCATGTTTGTAAATCAGTAAGTGTTACTTGTTTCAAATTCCTTAAAAACAATTTTAAGTTCCTCAAAGAATTATGATTTATTATGCCTAGAGGACTCCATTCTCCCCCAGCACCTTTTCCAAATCTTAAAATCTTGCCATTGTGAATATTTTGAGTTTGTGTCACCATTGTGTAGTATTAGATTGGGGACCTGCACAAGAAATATAACTAATGCGATAGAGTTTTAGTAAAAATATCAGAGCCTATAAACATCCATGTTTAACTATGGCTCCCTTTATAAGTTTTGTGAAGTACTGTGTTGTTATGTCATCTTTTAGCTGCCATGGATTTTAAGCAATAGTTGCTTTCTGAACCTTTCTCATATGGCAAAGCTGAGTCTTTTTTTTTTTTTTTTTTTTTGGAAAACTTAAATGCAATGGGAAAGCCTGATCATCTTAAGGTAGGTTTTGATACTTGAAAGCTGCCTAAATACACTTGGCAGGATGCCTGATGAAGAGGATAGCTGAGCTAGGGAACATCATCTAGGTCAAGGTATTTGCATCTGTTGTGGAATTAGCTGTTTTATGAAAGTAAGTTTTCTACATAATAGAAGCTTACACCTTTTAAATATCAAATTTCATTTTCACCATTTTTTGGGAAATCTTTAATGTGTTGTTTTCCTTTTAAATATAGTGTACTTCAACGTAATTCAGTGTTTAATGTCTTGAAGCTGACATAAACATTTTTTAAAATCGTGTATTGCAGTTGAAGCCCTCTAGGAGAACAGAGATTTTAGGGCTCTCCCCCACCCACCTGACCCTGAAAATCCTCACTGTTAGACTTTAAGTGTTATACTGCTTATTATCACTTCACTTCTCATTCCTTGGTGACATGCTATTCATTTTTACATTGCTGTATATTTGGGTGGCCACTTAACATCACTTTCCTTTGCCCCTTTGAGTCTGTTTTTGGTGATTGTTATACCCTTAAGCTTGAAAACCTCAAATCTTGACACTAGAAGTTTCTGAATAAATGAGGTATTACTACTGGACTTTGGTATTCACTTGTTACGTGAATTAGAAGGTAACATTTTCCATCTCAGAAGGGTTTTAGGAGGATTGTTGGGTTAACATTAATGAATTCTAAGAATTTTTTTCAGTAAAATGTAACAATATTATCTAAATCCCATGTCGTATATATTATATAGGTCTTTTCAAGCTCCTTAGTAACTGAGAGGATATTTTTAATTACATCTTTTTATTCTGAAATATATCTTTTCATTTATTCAACAAATAATTTGAGTGCCTGTTATGTGCCAGGATCTCTCATCAGAAGAAAGGAACTGGGTTGTTTGTTGTAACACTTTAGGTGATCTGAATAAAAATTGATTATTCAAAGTTATGCTGAACTGAGGAAGAGTACTTTTCACGCATCAAATAGATTATAAACTGTATGGAGAATCCTTTCCCAACAACTTATTATAGATTGTTGGTTCCCAGAAAAGATTTTGGATTTTGGTATAAAAAAGATTTAAGATTGAATTATGTAAAATAAGGAAAATTTAATGAAAAGAAACAGAGAAGTAGATGTACCAGACATTTGTCATGCTTTCTTCTACATGTTACCTTGATTTAGGAAGAAGTAGCTTTAAAGATGAACTGATTATAAGACTTGAGGATGAAAACAGAAAGTATGGAATAGTAAGAAAATGAAGGAAGAAGATTGGCAAAATAATAGAGTTTTATTTATCTAATTTTCCCAGGAAATTGTGTGTTTTGGGCAAATTGTTTTCCCATAGAACTGAACCCTAACTTTGAAAAAAAATCTGATGTAAATCTTTTGTTAGAAAATATCACCTACTTCTTTGCCTAATATTCAGGAAACAGGGAAGAAAAAGCCTTTTCTAAAACCCAGGGTCATTTTGCTTAACATAGTTGTTGTACCATGGTTATGATACAGTGAATTGCCATTTAAAAATGAAATTTGGTGATGAGAAAAATGTAGTACTGAGAAACAATAAAAAAAACTCGATGAATGAAAGAAAGTGACAATGTTAGAATGGGTTAATAAGGATGACCAGGACAGTCAAGTTGCCATGATGGGTATTACTCAGGATGACTGTTAATTGTGTTATCTTTGGACTTGCACTATTTTCCATTTCTCATTGGATTTGGAGAGTAAAGACAATTGTCACAGCTGTCATTCTCCATCCCCAGTTGCAGTAGAACATCTCATAATAGGTGAGAAATATAAACTCTCTTATCTAAGTTGTCTTTTGAGTTTTGGTGGCTTAGAAGCTGATTTTGACTGATTCAGGAATATATGATAAAACTTATAGTGTTTAGTTTAAAATATGCTTTAATAATTTTAGTAGTACACATTTGAATGTGAAAAATCGTGTCTGCCTTTTAGGAAAACAGAACTTTTTCTCAGTAAGGGGTGTCAGGTTTCATTTAGTCAGTGGCAGTGATCCTTATGGAGTGAAAAATCTCTGAATTTGAATAGGCAGACTTTAGGGCTTTGCCTGATTAAAATGGGTATATTATTTAAGATAACATTCACCATATGTGTATATTTAGGTAGCTGGCTGGTAATGGATTTGTCTTAAAACAGAAAATATATCACAATGAATATGAGATTAAGAAAGCAGATTAACTGAGAAATTCCATTTGATACTCAATTTTTTTTCTATAAAATCTTGTTTTAAATTTACTGAACACATAAGAAATAAAAATCTAGTGTGTTGAGAATTAGAGTATTACTGATTTCTCCACTTGCTAAAGCCTGATTACTTGGTGTATGTAATATACCATATTTCTCCTGAAGTAGCAATGACAAGAGGCAAGATAAAGCATCTGAAAATGCTATAGCAGGCATCTTAGAATTTAACATTTTAAACATAAAATTCTTTAATTGTAATGGTGTTCATATGTTGGGGGAAAAAGAAAAGCAAAAATATTTTATGGAACCAGTTGCAGGTAAGACTGCTAATCTCCAAGGCAAACACACTCAGCTGGTAGATCACATTCTACATTAAAGGTCTTGAAAAGGTGTGAGCAAGAAAAGAAGGCAAGTCAATACCAGGGAAGAAAATTTTGCCTGCGTTAATGTGCTAGTTTTGTTCTGCTAAGGGATTTTATTCTTTAACTACACGCTTCTCTCACTACTCAGTTATCTGAAGACTAAAAAATTGAAAAGTAAAGTTTTGCTTTTAGCAACACATTTAAAAAACAATAAAGTGGTAAGCTAAGAGGAGTATTTGATATGAACAGCAGGCAGCCAGGTCCGTTGACAGGAATAGAGTCTCCACTATGCTCCAGATACCATTTTGGACACTGAGATTATAAGGGGGAATAAAAATCATTCAGATATATTTAAAACAGGCTACAAATTGGAACGGCCATTGATGCTCATCTGAGTCAAGATGAGTTTACTCTGTGTCCTTTAAACAAAGATATTTGTTACTCGGGCCTAAAGAAAGAAAGGAAAATATAAAATGTCCAAGAATTTGGTCTTTCTGTCTTTGAACTTTAAAAAAGCTAGATTTTCCTGTGTGTTTATCCACAAGGCAGTGGTAGCTGTTTCATCCACAAAATTCACCTTGAATTAAGGCTTGAATCGACAAAGAAAGGCAGCAGTACCAGAAAACAATGACCTAGAACTCCTCAACTCGTCATAAAAGGACTTTGTACAGTCAAGGATTACATCCGTTTCACATTAAGCAACTTGGGCCAGATTTGTTCCTTACAAAGCCTTTCCTTGCAGTTGCTATGCCACAGAAAGCTATTGAAGTGCCATGTTTTTTGGCAGTTGGATGTTCTTATTTGTTATCAACATACATGAAAAAAATACCTGCTGCGGTCTTGTTTTTAGTTCCATTTTATATAAGTATTTAACATCTTTTTGTTTTATGTCAAAAATATTTTGAGTCATATTTTAAAAGATTTTGTGTGTTTTCCTTTTGCACAGTGTTAACTTGCTTATTATTATGTGACTTGGAGGGGTTGAAAAAATTTAAAACGGACTGGCCCAGAGATGAAGCTTTCCACTCTCTTTGACTCTCCTCAGGAAGCTGTGACACCCACTTCCATTCTCCTGCCAAATGTTTCCCTTCCATGACTTTGGTGCATAGACTTTGAAGCATTGTTGACCACATTGGCTGTTTGCCCAGAATCCAAATGCCCTGTGTAATTTGCATAATAATCACTGCTGATTTGCATATAGTATAAACTAAACTGTCTTCTTGAATTTAAAGTAAAAATGTTTTAAGGATTAAAGCCGTTTTCCTTTACCTACTACCCTTTTCTAGGTTTGAGAAGGCGTCATAGCTGTGTGTTTGCAGGCCCTCATCAGTTTCCACAGTTCTTTGTTTCCCAGTTTTCTCTACCTATGTTGGACAGTTTCTTAGCTCCCATTCTGTATGCCCGCACCTAGAGCATTGTTTCCCTCTCACTGGGCATACTCCTCCTGATCAGATCTTCTGGTTTTCTTTGCTGCTTCAACATCATATTCTGCTTTTTTTTTTTTTTTTTTGCTTTCCTCAATAATGAAAAAGGAATAATTTTCACTCTTCCATATGTCTGATGAAAGGCAATTTTTTTTTTTTTTTTTTTTTGAGACGGGTTTTGTTCTATTGCCCAGGCTGGAGTGCAGTGGGATGATGATGGCTCACTGCAGCCTTGACCTCCTGGCCCAAATGTTCTTCCCATCCTCAGCCTCCCAAGTAGCTGGGAGTACAGGGATGTGCCACCACACCTGGCTAATTTTTGTGGAGATGGGGTTTTGTCATTTTGCCCAGGCTGGTCTTGAACTCCTGGGCTAAAGTGAGCCACCTACCTCAGCCACCCAAAGTGCTAGGATTACAGGCTTGAGCCACCATGCCTGGCCAAGAGGCAGCTTAATGTTGCACATTGAACAAGTTGTTGATAAATTGGAATACATGCAGCCTAAGGTGAGTTTTTCTCTGGTGCCATCCAGACGAGACTCACAATACTGTTAATCTCAATAAGCTCAGAAATATAAGGTTGCTTTCTTTGACTCCTGTCTTCCTTCCTTTTACCCACTTCTATTTTTTAAAAAAATTTTTTTAAGGAATAATTTTCCTATTCAGTACTTATGTCCCAGATGGACCCCATACCCACTTGTAATTTATTTGTTTGACAAATATTCTTAGGAATATGTTTAACAATAATTTAGTAGTTCTAGAATAACCTTTAGGGTCTGGAAACAGACCCTAAATTCTACATATTATAACTTGAAAACTTAAGTGTTCTCTTTTTTTAAGTGATAGGTAACCACTTACATGGTTCAAAAAAATGTGTTAAGTATACAGTGTAAAACCTCCCTCCCATTTTATCTCTTGTCTGCACAGTTCCCCAGCCATCATAATCAAGGATATATACTTCTATATACGTATATATCCTTCTCAAGTAGTTTTTATGCCTATACAAATATATATTCCTGTATGTACCTTTTATATACAAAAGTTAGCAAAACTATACACTAAACTTTGCAAAACTAGCAAAACACTTCTAAACTTTGCCTTTTTTTAACTTAACAAATCATATAAGTATTAGAAAGCTTTGTCATTTTATTTTACGACCACATAATATTGTATTCATTTTCCATGATTTATTTAATTAGTCCCATACTGATTGATGTTTAGATCATGTCTAAAGGCTTTTTTCCCTGCATATATGAGAATTTGAAATTGAAAATATACCTGTGCTCACCCTAACTGAACACTTAGGACCCATCACGCATCAGCATTACAGAGGAGAAGGCTGTGATGAGATCTTACTTAACCAGCTTCCAAGGTTTTATTAGTGATTTTTGCTCATTCTGAGTCACGTTGTACTTTCTTACAGTTAATGATAACATTATTCTAATAGTCTTTTCAAGATTATTTAAAAACAAAATATTTCATAATCTCTGGTGACCATTGTTTGCATTATCTTTTTAAAAAATTACTATTTAATTATGTTTTTAAAACTTATTTCTTTTGTTTTTGCCCTTTTTTTTGAACTAGATCCTTACAATAAATGAGGATGGATCACTTGGTTTGAAAACCCCTAAATCTCACGTTTGTGAGCACTGCAATGCTGCCTTTAGAACGAACTATCACTTACAGAGACATGTCTTCATTCATACAGGTATTTCTTGAATTGAAATGGGCTTGTGGCCATTAAAGTTATTATCTTTGTTATTTTCATCTTCGTGTAAACGTCATTCATTCCTAAGACCACAGCTAATCTGGCATTCCAAATCAGAGATTTTGTAGGCCAGAATGTCAGAAGGAAACCAGGAAAAAATGTTGAGTGAGAAAACAATTAGCATGGATGTGTAAAATTAATTAAATAGTCTTAATTGGACACCTGTTTGGCTTAATGTGCTCCATTTAGCTAGAGAAATGATTAGAGAATGTATTATTAAAAGCCTGTTTGTCAGTGTTCATTTTTTGTGTATGCAAAATATCCAGGCAGAGTTTAAAACATGGATTTGGAAATCAAATATAAATAAATGATAGCTAAGATAATGAAGTTGTAGAGAACAGTATTAAAGATGGCAGACCTTTGGGTAAACAAACTAGACATGTAAGATAAAATGAGGAATAAAAACAGTTATAAGGGAGATTTGGTGAATTAGGAAAATAGTGTCCCAGAAGCTGGAAGAAGCTAGAATTCCAAGCAGGGTGTGACCAACAGTGCCAGTGCCCTAGGGAGGATAGAGGTTAGAGAACCGAGAAAAAAATCTTTGGAATAAATAGCAAGGAGATCACAAGTAGCTTTTCAGAAAACAGAGTATAAGGGTTAAACCACAAGTGGGCAGTGAAGAATCTGAGACTTAGAGTGGACTATTCTTTTAAGGAGGTGTAGTGAAAGGGAAGGAGAGAAAGTACTAAGGTAGAAGTGTTTCAGGACTGAAACAAGGTTTCTCAGCATAGAGCAGTCCAGAGAATACTTTCCTTAAAAGGAAAAGCCCCAGCAGAGAGAGAAAGTTTGAAGAGACAAGATCTTTTTAAAAAGGGATGTTTAGAAAGTTCTGAAGGTTCTGAAGACAATATGTAAAAGGGCATAAATGGATGGTTAACTAGGGAGAAAACAGGATGGGCACCCCTTCTTCCAAATAAAAAGAAAGATAATATGTTTAAGACACGTGAGAACCTGTAGAGTTCTTTCTTACCCCATGATTTTAAAATTTAATTTTAAATTGTTTTATTTATTTCCTTTTCCCCCCTTGAATATATAGATCAAATTTAATCTCATTTTTATGTGATTGTGAGAATATGAATTTTTAAATCCTGGGAAAAAAAATGGAGAGGAAATAAAATTCTGTTAATAACATCAAAAATTTGTATGGCTATTTTGTAATTTTCCAAAATTTGGGCATCTAAGATTTTTCTTTCCTCAGAAACAGTAACTAAAAACTGTTGTTTTATTCAGTAACTAATTTGTGGATGTGAAATTATTTTAAGGCGAAAAACCATTTCAATGTAGTCAATGTGACATGCGTTTCATACAGAAGTACCTGCTACAGAGACATGAGAAGATTCATACTGGTGAGTGTTAACCACCCTTACTAGGTTCATTGAAATGATTATTTCAGATGGAGGGAAGAATTTTTAATAAGTGGCAGTGACTTGCTGCCATTTCCATTGGTTTAGACTCTAAATCACAGGTTATCTTTTTTATCCCTTCAATAAATCAATGTTAACTGTTAAGACTTAACTTTAATGTCCAAGCCCAAGAAATTACTTTGAAATAGAGTTGCATAATAACCTAAAATATATGTTTAAAGTCACAAAAGGAAGGAAGATTTTCTGAAATTGCTATTTCCTTAGGTGTTTACTAAGCTTTAAGTTATCATTCATTAGTCTGAGGTAGGAAGCGAATTCCTGACTACTGAAGCAGCAGTACAATTCATTCTCTTTCTTTGCATTTCGTGTATATACCTTACCCTATCAGTAAACATGTAATCTTAAAAAGTTGAGAATTACCGATTTCTCAGTCAAGTTATTAATGATTTAGAAATTAAATATTCTAGAGGATCATTATAAAGGAACACATACCTTAAAAACCTAAGTCTCATTTTAGAGCAAATATTTATTTGCATCTATTTTTGCCAGTGGTAAAACCAACTTTTATAAGTAACTTTGATTTAATAGTCTGTTGACTTAACCTTTGTTGCCTCTAAGCATGTTGAAAAGTGTTTCTTTAGAATTGATTTCCAGTGTTTTGCTTTTTGTGATGGAATAAAAGCAGAGTTGGTAAATTTGTATAACTTTGAATTTTGCATTTGAATAGAATTGAGAATTGTGATAATATGAGAATATTGGAAATATTAAAGTTCTTCACATTTTTCTGTTTTAAAAGTACTCAAGCAAGTACCTGCCCAGTGTTGTTATTTAGATGTGTTCTCATGGAACCTGCAGTATTTATGAAAGGACAGTTTGTCATATAGAAGCAACCTTTTCTGTCCGATAACTTTTTTTTTCAATTTTCTTTGCCCCTAAAAAGAAGCATGAATGTGTCTGATCTGCTTAAATAAAACTTCAGCCGGGCCGGGCGCGGTGGCTCACGCCTGTAATCTCAGCACTTTGGGAGGCAGAGGCGGGTGGATCACCTGAGGTCGGGAGTTCGATACCAGCCTGACCAACATGGAAGAAACCCCATCTCTACTAAAAATACAAAATTAGCCGGGCGTGGTGGCACGTGCCTGTAATCCCAGCTATTTGGGGGGCTGAGGCAGGAGAATCGCTTGAACCTGGGAGGCAGAGATTGCGGTGAGCCGAGATCGCGCCATTGCACTCCAGCCTGGGCAATAAAAGCAAAACTCTGTCTCAAAAAAAAAAAATAAATAAACAAATAAATAAAACAATAAAACTTTAACTGGGCAACACGTCTGTATGCTTGGATGTACTACTTTTTAACAATCATTTTGCACATTACTCATTTCAGTTTTTTAAGTAAATGTATTCATCTCTGTTAGAAGGGGCTATACGATGCACTATGGGAGAAAAAATTTATATTAGATTTTGTGTGACTTACAGCTAAATTTAAATTCCTATATAACAATAAAACCTGATCAGATAAAAATGAAAGTGATTATTTTTGTGTGTTCTTAATACCTGTTAGGGTTTGATATTTTACTCATTCATTCAACAAAAATTTATTGAGCATCCAGTGTTTTTCAGGCGCCAGAAATAAATAACATAAGGCAGTTTTTTTCTTTGCAGTTTACATTCTTGTGGGAAAATAGACGTGGAAAAACACACATATAAGCAAGCACAGTGCAGTTAAGTGTTCTAGAATTTTATACAAAATTCTGAAGATACTATTGTGCCCTGAGGAAGAGACACATGTGCTGTCTGTGAAAGTTACTTAGGGAAGGTGTCACAGAAAAGCTAAATGAGGCTAAGTTAAGAATATATGTGTGTGGGTGGGTGTGTATCTGAAAAAAATATTTTTGAAACAGTACTTACCTTTATTGCACTACGATATTTTGTGTGTGTGTGTATGAATTTTTTTTTTTTAAAGTGCTGGTCACAATTCTGTAATCAACTGCACTAGACCATGGGGAATCTTGGATTTAAGCAGAGTATAATGGGTTGTTAATGTTTATTTAGAATTTACTAAGTACCAGAAAACTGTGTTAAATATCTCATTTCATCCTCACATTAATTGTGAAAGGCAGGAGTTATTACTATCCCCATTTTATAGATGAGAAGGTAGTAAGAAGTGCACAGAAGTTAAGGAACTTTCCCAAATGTGTATATCTAATAAATGATGGAACCAAGATTTCAGCTCAAGCCTCTGTGATTCCAGAGTACACATGTGAAATCACTGGCTATGCAGAATGGGACTAGAAGCAGAAAGTTATATTTGGGCCTTTTTGAGTTTTTCTTGCTCTGCTACTAAGCCAATTATGGCTTAGCTTTCCTATAGGTATAGTAGCATCTAAGAGCGGTAGAAGCAAAGGCTGGAGTTCTTATATTATAGAGAACAATGTAGAAGAAGATAAGGAGTTGAGAGGAACCAGGGCAAAGCAATCACTAGGGTTCCTTAACAAAGCAAAGTTCTTTTGAAGAGAGAATCAATTCTGCCCTATTGTTCCCTCCCCACTAGGTGGAACTGATATAAGGGGATAGTTTTCTCTTCTTTACTTCATATTCTTGATTCTTTTTGTAGATTCTTTTTAAAGGCAGTAAAATGTTTTTTGTTAAACCTATTTGGGAATATATATCTAGAACCACAAATAGGTCTCCATCATTTATTATTATGTTCTTACTGTTCTTTCATTTTCTAAATGGCTTTTATTTTTGGAGGAGGGTAGTGCCCTAAAGTTTGCCCACGTGAAGGCTTTCTTTCTCTGTAGGCCCTTAGTTTAGAAGAATACATTTAAATAGTTACAGCATTAAAAAAGATTTTCCATATTTCTATCCATTTTCTAATTGTCAAGTGAGTAATGAGTCACCTAACTGACCCTCAAAGGTTGGTGAAAACCATCAGCTCTTAAAGGCTCCATTTTCCATACATCCTTCCTTCTCCCTTTAGGTCTCATTATACTGTCTCCTCCTGGTCCCTCAAGCCTCCAAGCCCGTTCTCTGCCCCTTTGCAACATGGTTAAAAATCATTACTCGCTTGGTAGCTATGGCCAACCATAAAGAAACCTGTGTCTTACTAAAACTAAGAACATAGTTGATTTGGTTTCAAAAGGTAAAATGTTTAACGTGCCCTAGACAGGCTATTATTTAATTCCATTTCCTAAATTTGGGCTTGGCTATGAAATACCATTTTAGGGGAGTGTACTTTTTCATCCAAAGGCTGATCCCTGAAATTCTGGTTTAAGCTTTATTCCTTTAGATTAAGGCACTGAAAACTCACATTTTAAATACCCTCAGGACTGCTATTTTTGGCAATTATGGGAGCTTTACCTTTTTTGTGAATATTATCTTTTTTGTAAATATTACAGATCCTTTATTTAGGTGATGTTTTGGGTGTGCGAGGGAAGATGAGGACTTGAGGCTAAGGTTGAAGATAATTCTAATTGTTCATTTTGTTTAGGGCCAGAATTACTGATCAAGTGCATATCAAGGTTAAATATTTATCATCGCTGGCAGATTTCCTTGTGGATCAAGTACTTTTGTCTGACGTGCCCTTTCCTTGTCTAAGGTGCCTATTTTAAAAATGCATATATAGAATAAATGTTAGAATGGCATATATCCGTAGTTGTGTTATTTTCTTCTCACCCAATGAGCATTTTACTCTAAGAAACTTCCAGTCTTATCACCAAGAGGGATTGAAGAGTAAAAAACCTAAGTACCATTTTTAATTTTAGTTTTGTAAATTCCTCTAAATAGTAAGCCACAGAATACCTACCCTGATGTTCTGTTATACAAATTATGGTTGCTTTTTAGTTATGCCAGGTTTCATAATTTATTTTTTATTTTAATTAGTAAAAATGTTACGAAGCTATTTCTATAGGGAAGTTTTTATAAATGATTCTCCTCCTGGCGGAGTGCGGTGGCTCACACCGTAATCCCAGCACTTAGGGAGGCTGAGGCAGGCAGATCACGAGATCAGGAGTTTGAGAACAGCCTGGCCAACATAGTGAAACCCGATCTCTGCTAAAAATACAAAAATTAGCCGGGTGTGGTGGCACAAGCCTTTAGTCCCAGTTACTCGGGAGGCTGAGGCAGGAGAATCATTTGAACCTGGGAGGCAGAGGTTGTGGTGAGCTGAGATTATGCCATTGCACTCCAGCCTGGGCAACAGAGCCAGACTTCATCTCAAAAAAAAAAAGAGATTCTCCTCCCAAAAACAAAAGAAATTTTTGAAAAAACGAAATCACTCAGAATTATATATGTTCACTAGGTTTCTTTTTCCATAAGGTTCTTTTTTAAGCCTTTAGTTCTTAGATGTATACAGTTCTGTCTTTAAAAATACAAAAATACTGGAAAACCTGTCATCTAAGTTGGTGTTCTTCATGCCTAAAAATACAGCAGTCCTCTTTTCCTCTTTACTATGACTTTTATTCACAACTGTATTAAATAGCTGTATTAAATAGCTGAATAATAACGCACTTTTATTTTTGTAAACCAGTTGGGTTAATGGGATGGGGTTAGAGAGAATGTTGATTTACCCTTGACTAACGTAGCTTAACCCTTTTTATTTCCCTTAGTATGGTTCAGTTATTGATAAAAATTAGTTTTCTGCTCACGTTTTTCAAGCCCTAATTTATAGTTAATTAGCTTTAACAGAGAAGTCTTAAGAAAGAAAATGTTAAAGACCTACTTAGAGTTTAACTCTTAATTTGTGAGGATGAAGGAAATGAATACTGTTTGTATAACTGAGAATGTTGTGTGCACTACAAGCTCCTGGCATTGTGATTGCTGAAGCCCAGACTGCACTGGCATGGACAGATCTTGCCAAGGAAGTATTAAGCAGAGAAGTATGGATTGCTGGGACTGACATTTTCTGCTTTAACAAAGCTTTCAGAAACCATTTTTTTTAAATCTGCAAAGCTGTTAATAATTCCTACTAAAAGATTGGTTATACA